GCTTTTGTCTATGCAAAAATAGTTCAAACATTGATAAATAGTTCAAAATTCCACGCACCGGCGCATGAAAGCTGAATTCGAAACCTAGAAAGGTGAATATCTTTATCCCGAGCTAACAGTTTACTCGCCAAAATTCTCACGAGGCCGCAGGTGACACTCAACAGCGAAGGAACCCTGAATTTGAATAGGCAAGGTTGTGCGTGGGCAGGGAGTTATTACCCCAAAATTTCAGCTTCCTGGACCCCGTGGTTCCCGAGATAATAATTTATCCATAAAAACTTGAGAATTTTGAAAGTACGAATTTTGAAAGTGTGAGACAAAATGCTGAGAATTTTGAAAGTGAGGGACAAAATGTGGGACACACACACAGACAACCCCGTGACAATATGCGTTTTGTAACGCTGTTGCACAGCACAAAACGCATAATAAGTAAAAAGTGGGTAAAGCAAGTACGAAACGAGTCTGTTTACCTTGCTTGGCATCTGGGAGCATTCTAGCAACATCACTAACAGAGACTGCCCAAACTGATAGTCCGAGCCGCCCTGGTACTTTTGTTCGGCGACTTACCTCATCATAGTCCAGGGATGGTAATATTGTGGACGAATTTGTCATGCTCAGAGCACAACGAAAATATTTCAAAACTGTTATAAGGCATGTAAAATGTTTCTTTCGGGGGATCTTTTGAGACGATATTTCCCTTGGGAACCGAAACGAACGCCGGAATGGCTAGCAAGTCGATCATCAGGCGATGCAGTGTGTTCAGAGTAACTGAGAGTTTGCTACTACATGCACAGCTGGCGAATCATTTTGTGCGTTACACTTTCACTAAACTTACCGAAATGTCTTAACTCTCTCGTACTTATTTTTCCTGTGCCAGCAACATTTCTACATCTTGCATTACATAGTTCGTTCTATTCTTGCCTTCTTTTCTACGTTCTTCGTACTACTTTTATGCTACAATCATGCGATAATCAGCTTACCAAGATCATGCTAAAGTGACAGAAATTGATTTCAGAAGAAAGTGGAAAACGCTTAGGCAGTACAAATGTGAAGAAATTCATGGCCGAGCAAAAGGTGATATTTGCTTTTTGGATCACCATCTAGTGGGCAGTGGCCTGAAAAGGGCGTAAATAGCGGCGCGCACCACGACAACCGGTGCGATCATGCGTTTTGTGCAATTCTGTCCACCGAATGGCTTCCTGCTAAGGATATTCACTGCTCTGAATTTAAATTTTGGGGGGTTGCACATGGGCAGGGAACAACCCTCTAAAATTTCAGCTCCTTAGACTCCGTGGTTCCCGAGCTAATCATTTACCCCTCAAAAGTTTTACGCGGTGCTAGGTGATACTCGGGAGCTTGGGAACCCTGATTTTGTGCTTTCTAGATCGCACGTAGACAGGGGATATACCCATAAAATTTCAGCTTCCTAGCTTCCGTGATTCCCGAGATAATAATTTGCCCAGCTAAAAGTTTTACGGGGCCGTACGTGTTACTGGCGGGTACGGGGAGGCTGGATTTAAATTTGCTTGGTCACGTATTGGTAGGGAACATTCCCATAAATTTTCAGCTTCCTAGCTTTTGTGGTTCTCGAGTTGAAAGTTGCAGACTAATTGCTGCGGACACACACACACACACGCACACACATGGATAACCCCGTACTGCACTTAAACAGCACAAAACGCATAAAAAAAAGAATACCTATAAGTTACGTGTACATTAACACAAAATTTAACTGAATTTATGATCCATCAATTTGAAATATTGAAAAGTTTTCATTTTCAGGAAACTTTAGAAGTGCTTGACAGTCCACCAGTTGCGTTGCGGACACGCTCGCGCTCACGTTGCTCAAGCGTAAATTCAGTTGACGGTACTGGTAACATTTTGTACCACTCAATTATGGCATCGACCCGTTTGGTTGCCTTCATTTATTGAGCTAATGCACATGGCGCTTTTTATGTGTCTTTTGTAGCTGTGCAATGCGGAAAACGCATATTGACGAGAGGTTGTCTGTGTGTGTGTGTGTCTGTCTGTCTGTATCTGTGTGTGCGCAGGACCTCTGTACCGATTTTTCATCTAGAGACCTACAAAAGCTACAGGGCTGAAACTTTGGGAACTTAATATACATATATGTACGGGCTCCCATCCCCAAAATGGGCGCTCTTACCCGCGTGGTACCCACGTGCGGGCTCGTGAAAATTTTTTCGGGTAAGCTGCTAACTCGGGAGCCTGAGAAGCTAGAAAACTGGAATTTTGAAGTGATGTTTCCTGACAGTCCTGGTAGCCAGTCTGAAATTCTTTTAGCTAGAA